AGGTTGTTCCGTTCAAATTAATCTCTCGAGCTAGTGGCTGCGATTTTTTTTCGGAGGAGGTACAGGGTTTTGGAGTTTTTGTGAGGAGGTCATCACTTTTTCAGCCGGTTCTCGGGCTGCCCAGAGTTGTAACAGGTGACAAGTGCGTTAGTTGTTCACATCCTCCACCAACGGGAGCACAGGACGCTATCGCGCGAACCTGCCCGTGAACAATTTCCCAACTCATCTCTGTTACGGGTTTGTTGGCGCGATTATGACTTGTGCTGCCCTCTGTGTTGAATTTGGACGGTCTGCACATTACTCAGGGAGTGTAATCTGATATGACATGCCCGCAACAAATTTTGTATTATTTGTTCTTCTTTATTAATATTTTTAAATTGCCTATCCATCACTGTTAATCATGCATAAGTATGTAATACATTCAGCTGGACATCAAATCAACATTTAATTCTTTTTGTATTTATATTTCCTCAATCATGGTCCTGCACAAAAATAATCTAAACTTCAATAAGAATTCGTTTAGATTTCCATTTAAATGTTTATTAAAGTGTTCTACGATCCTAGTCTGTTTAACAAATGATTTTTTCCTGCTCACTTTTGGTAACACACATGTAGTTTCTGAATTAGATTGCAGATGGCGCTATTTCATTGAACCGTAAAAGATTGTGACAGTGTCTCTTCGCTTCTTTTTCTGATTTTAACCTGTCATTCATAACCTGTGGGCATTGAGATAAACACAATAGTGTAAAGTGCCTACTTCTGGTGTTATTTGTTAGTTCTTTTATTCCTAACTAGTCATAATTAAAAATAATGGTGAGAGGTTGTTTTCGTAATATCACAATGTTACAATTTGCAATGAATGAGAAGGATAAGTCTATAACTTTTTTAACCTAACATTTAACTTGCTCATTGTAGGACGTATTTCTGATGATCAGGCGGAAGAAAATGACTATATTTACCGACGCGAAAGAAAACGCCTCGGTTCTTGAACTTAAAAAGATGATTCAAGGTGAGCTTTTGTAGTGAATGTGGAGCAGAGTTTGTAGGACAAGTATACTGTTAAGAATCAATAAATCAGTAAGTGTTTAGATTTACATGTTACAAAAACAATCTTTCTTTCAGGTATATTAAAAATACCACCTGCCAATCAACAGCTACATAATAAGGATAACTATATAATGTCTGACTCGAGATTTTTGTCTGATTATGGAATTTCGTCTGCAAGCGCGAAAGCACAATGCCCTGCTTTAATAGGTTTAGCTATCCGTCAAGCGAATGGTGAATTTGAGACTCTTGAAATGACTCCCTTCTCCATACCCCCTGATCTCCCAGATGTCATGAAATCTCAGGAAACCAATGGTCAGGAGCAGAGTCCTTGAAGAATTGCCCATTATCATAAATTCTACAATAATGCAGGCACATGAAATGCATTAGTTAATCATTGGAATGTCCATGAATCATGGAAGAATCGAGGAAGTGTGAGCATTAGATTGATAAAAATTAACACAATTGTTTGGAAACATATTTCCCTTTGTGAGTTCGCGATAACTTAATAGCCATTATTATGTGATCGTTACATTTAAAACTCATTTTTACTACTTGGAAAATATGTCTTGTAATCGAAAGAACTTCTAAAATGGAACGTTCTTACCACGAAATGTTTGTTTTGTGCTTATGTAAAGGAAATATTTGAATATAGCTGAATATAATCTTTTTTCAAAGCAAAATAAATACCTCATCTACATGTTCTGTAGCAATAATTTATATAAGCTTGGTTGTAATATGAAATATTTGTTTTCATTTTGTAAACGCATCCTTGAAAATTTTAGTAGAGATTTGCAATTGCAATTGCGATCCAAGGTATACTGGGTGGTGTGAAAAGTATCTCAGTAATCCTCTAAAAGGGAAAATATCTAAAATATAAGCGAATTAATGTAAATAATTGTATTAATACAATAATACAGGTAATGTTATCGCTTTTGAAAGGTGATTATCCATAGTTACTAAGCATTTCTATCCAATCAGTGTGCTGTAAATATTCATAATGAAATACTTAAATTTGTTTAAATTAATACAATAAGTAGGTGTGCTGTTTTTACCATTTATTGTTTGTACTCCTGAAACTACTATGTTAACATTCTAAATACAACAATGCTTCTGTCTTTTGTTATGTTTATACTGTTTTTTAGTAACAATATTACCATATATGTCCTTTTAAATATAAAACTGCATTTTTATTATGGGAATAACTGTTTTAGGTATACAAAGCAGTGGCATTACTAAATTTAATTATAATTAAATAATCACACAACTATTTTTTTTCATAAATACATATTCAAGATTTGGAGAGCTTACACAGTATACAACGGATTACCCAGTTAACTACGAAATTTAATGAAGTACCATTTTGATTTGACATGTATACTCATCAAACGTAGTTAACTGATTAAATGAAACATTTTCATCCAATGAAACTGGTGCTGAAATAAAGTAATTATTTGGCATTTTAATATAGATATGTGTAAAAAATTTAAAAATCACGGATAATTTGTTAGTTTCTACATTCAGAATGGGCATGTCATGTAAAACTGAAATGAGTTTCTATAAAACATTTGGTTGCCCATTTAATATTACACAGTACAGTATTAAATATTACACATTGTTTAATATTAAATGTGTACATACTACAATTTTGTATGCCATATAAGATGACAAAAATCGATATAAACATTGTATACAACAGACAGATGTATTTTGTGTATTAAGGGATGCATAGTTAGGTGTCATGTGTCCTTGCAAGAGATATAGTTGCAATATAGTAATGTGAAAGGAGATAGTAGTTATATTTTACTATTTCTGTTCAACGTAACATTGCAATGATAACAATTTATTTCATTTCTGCATATTGAGCTAACATTTCAACTATAAAATCGTGATAAATGCCTTTTTTCCCTGGTACATAATGTCCTCCTTCGTGTATCACTGTTTTCTTGTTGATAAATAATTTACTCAGTTCCTCTGCCATTTCTGTAAAAATTTTAATTTAAGATCTTCAGTATATAAATATTTTATATAACAAAAATATAGGGAAGTTTTTGCTTGTTTTAAAAATGTTTACCGGGTGGAATAACTTTATCTGTGGATCCATAGATGTATAACGTAGGTAAATTAATTTCCTCATTATAAAGAGGTGCATGTGGTGCACAACGTGATTTGAAACCGGAAATTATAATAGCAAAGTCGAATGCAATTGAAGTCACTGCAAAACATTAATATATTGGTAACAATTATCAATAAAGCAGATTCTATAAATGATCTATTGATAGTTACGTTTCTTCTGTTGCATAGCACAGAGAATAGATAAGAATGCTCCTCCTTGTGAGAAACCAAGAACACCATCAAAGGGCCCAGAATCCTTAAATGTTTTTTCTATTAAGCTCAGGCTTTCATCAAAACCTATTGAATCGTCACTGTAATTGACTGCTTTAAATGTTCGTTCGTTATTATCAAACCACCAACCATAACCTATATGTAAAATTTATACAAACATAAATTGATTAGTTTCACAAATTTGTCTAGTACTTATCAACGTAAAGCCATGTTAAATAATGTGCATTACACTTTGCTTCTCCATTATCTTCGTCATTAACAGGAACTGTTAATACTTCATGGGGTGCTTGGATAAATACAAATTCCAATTGCTTCTTATATGATTTTCTCAGTGATCCCAATTTTGCTTTGAATGTAATATCTGACTGACGATATCCATGTAAAGCTAAAATCTGTGGAAAAACCGGTTTATTTCAACTACATTGTAACTTTGATGTCTAACCGTTTATATGATATCCTAATGTGCCATACTTTGGTGAAATAACAACTTCCTTATAAGCTATTTAATTTTGTTATTCATTATCTCAGTGGAGTTACTTCTCACCCGCAGTTTCCTTTTTACTGATGTCATCTTTATTTTGAGTAAACCACAGAAACAAGCTATCAAGTTTGGAAGTGGTTTTATCACAATTGAGGTTATGTTGTGATTTAATTACACGTGTGAAAATCAATATCTGAATCAATCATAATTCTCTTTTCATAAAATGTTTTTTTTAAGGTATTAGATATAATAAATAAAGTAATAAATCTTGTACGGTTTAACAAGTTACTGATGTACAGTTTTCTCTCCTCGTAAGGGTAAATACTTATATTACCGATTTCTGTAGTTAAGGTAAAGAGAACTGAATTCGGTGTCGATATATATTTTAATTCTTACACAATAATTGTGCATATCATTATTAGAATAAAAAATATTTTACAATTTTGTATCATTAATGATGTACACACAAGTCATTGATTTTATATTTTAATCATTCACATTGTATACGGTTGAAAACAATTATGAAATGGCAAACACAAGAATACTTGATAGTAAAACAAGTGTTAATTACAGTAATAATCATAAAGTCACCAGGGGAAAAACATTTTGATGCTAATTTTTAACTATTCACAAATTAAACTCTCAATTTATTTTTTCCACTCACAATGCAATGTCCAGCATATAAATTATGGACTGCTTAAATATCATCTAAGTCCACAGCTTCCACTTTTGCACTAATAGAATCGTCATCCTTAGTAGTGTTTGAGTCAGCAGTTACAGTACTGGGTCGTGGAAAATCTAGTTTGGACCAAGAACCAGGTTCGGCTTTCTTCAATTTGATCTCTACTTTAGTAGGTAGCATTGATACACTGCTCTCTGCAACATTTACTATCTAAAATAGAATTTGTTCAATAAAATAATTACATGTAGATACATAAATGAAACGATCAAAAGAATTACAATGAACAAGATAAACTTACTCCTCTTAATTCTAGATCATTGACATATCTAGAATTTTCCTCTAAAAAGAACAAGTCTATAGATAGTCGTATAGGATTCAGTTTAATAGAAGATTGACTGGGTTGATACTTTTTTGCATAAATTGAAACGACTACAAAAGATCCAGTCTGATGCCAATCTAATCTACATTGAATGGTCTTCTTGGATATCTGAAACAGTGATACAAGTTTGTGAATTTATCACTATTTAAAAAAAAAAATAGAATGAATATACTTTTCCACTGAACTATTTAATTAAAATAAGCATGTGCCATGCTGATCACACAGTCCATGTTACTGAATGTAATTTTTTATATTTACCTTGTTAATCCAAACATGTTTTCCTGAACTACAACCTGTCTGTTCTAAGAATACAGAAAAATCAGTTGTTTTCTTTTGGCAACAAGACCAATATTTAAGACCTTCATGAAAAATTGGAACACCAGGATGATGTTTGCAATCCTCTTCGTCGGAAGTTGATCCTTGATATGTAGCTTTACAAGAATTATTTTTACAACTTTCTCCGATAGATACTTTGGTGTCAGTATTTACTTCCACTGGCTGGGAAGTAAGACCTTCGATTTGTTGTAACAAAGATGAAGACACTGTGGGAGTGAGAGTCACCTGAGGAGAGTCGAAAGGAGGTCTCTCCAATGCTGCTCTTTCTTTAAGGGGTTGCACATTTACTGTTACTACTTTGTCAGCCTCCGATTTATCTATTACACGTTTTTCTGGTTCCGGCGGTTTAATATTGGAATGCGGTCCTTTTGTACAACCCTTTATATTTAAAAATTCAGTAAAGTCTGTACATTTTTTGTTACAACACGACCATCCTTTATAGGCATCATGAAAGACAGGTTCTCCAGGATGATAGATGCAGTCACCTAAAATATATTTAAATCTTAAATTAGTGTTTCATTTATATTCATGTTTCATGCCCCATAAAAATGAAGCACTAGATTATAGTTTAAGAACGGTCAAAGTTTAAGCAATATTAAAATTATATTAATACGTGAAGCATTACAATTACATATTTAGTTAGTTTCATCCCTTGGAGCATTATTTCCTAGATTAACAGATTATTATAAATATTAATGATAAAAAGCATTTAATGTGACCTTTCAAAAACTGATTGGTAGCTCACAAAAAGTCTACCAACTCTACGAAGAATTTTTGTATTTAAACACAAGTAGATACCACGGATTATGCAGGGTAAATAATAAAGTAAATAAAATAACTGGTTTAAAAAAGTATTAAATAACTTGATCATACCGTCATTGTTCTTGTCAGGATTGAATTGCTTTCCACAGCCGCGATTGTAACAGTGGCATGCAGTCTCTCCACTGGACATTGTCCTGTTAGTTAAATAATATCACTTGTAACGAATATGTACAGAATCCTCCTTATGGAACTCGATGTGCAAAGCTTTAATATAAAACCTGGTAGGTAATCTAGCAGAACTTGTCGGATTATTTTCGAAAATTCTAGCAGGGTCCTTTTAGAAGTCGCATGGACGTAGACCACCTGCGCGCGCAGAAAGGAATCGCAATCCGCTAGAGCGGCAATTTCAAATGCATCAGTGACCGCAGTTCTTTTTAATGATAGGGAAGAAAGTGCAACTTAAGCGCCCCCGAGTGATAAGAAATTGCAATAATGAGTTTAGAATCGTGAATCGATGGCGAAGACGAGAATTGTGCGAGGAAATCTCTGGGAAACGCAAAGAGAGCAAATGCGTTCGGGGACAGACTATAATTTAAAAAGATATACTTCTCGAACTATTATTATACATTTTCCTACCGAAACCATCGAATTATTCCGTCCGTAACTTTACTTCAACTAACCCCTACATAATTACACAATTATATAAAGGGGACGTTGCTTTGATGTATCTCATTGTTGGTATCAGGTATCACATAGAGTAGTTGGACGAGAAATGTGTATCTTTAAAATAAACTCTCCTTTTCCAAAGTACTGTCCTTGTGTATCTGGGATACTTTACCAAGATTAATAGAGTGAGCTACTTTAAAGAAAAAGTATGCTAGCGTACTTTTCTATTAACTCTGCTAATTGTAAACGGGGTTTTAGCCGGCAGCAAAATATGGAACGAGTTGAAACTATAGTTTATCGAATGGAATTACAATTTCGTCCCTGGACGATCATACCGTCATATCACGCTTTGAATTGTCACAAGAAGGTTTCATTATACGTGTATCCAGGTTTTGTTAGTGAATTAATAATCTACGTTTCACCCTTCTGCGATTGATATACATGTAATTAGGATAATTACTGGTTACTCCTCCGTGTTTATAAATTGTACCGATTAATCAGCAATCTTTTTACTTGTCACGCACGTGGAATACATTTCGAAAGGCTTTCGTATTTTCTGTAAAGTCCTGTAACGCGTACATATCTGGGAAGCTCTGTGATAGTCTGAGTTGCCATGCTGTAAAGATAAGAATTTTTTAGACAAATTGGAATAGGTTTCTGCGAGATCAGCGGATAGGATCTGCCCTGCTCGACTTTTAGGGGTGGTCACCCTCGAAAGCGATCAGGGTCATTGCGGACCATTTACTGATGTCCTGGGCGAACATCTGGGTCATTCTCATGACACGAAGGGGGTTGGACATTCGGCATACCGAGCGAGTCGTTCTGGCCGAGTTCGTCAAGTGGATCAAGACAGGACATCTAAGAACCAGTGTATCAAAACTCATTGAAATATTTTCAAAAAAGTAGAAGAGCAAATCCTGCGCAGGGCAAAAGTCCTACACCAACGATTGAAAAAAAAAAATTATTATTTCTTATTGGCGAAAAGTTGAATTTTGCAGTTAGGAGATACTTTTAAAAGGTTCTCTTACTACCGCTTTAAAGGTATAAACGCGCGGTCACGGCTTTACATTAAGGGTGTCCAGTACTCCAACGACCCTAGTAGCATAGAATAATTTCTAAATATTTCTTTGTAATCTTTGCTAAATATCTCGAGCGACAGATTTTTTTAAATTTCTTGTAGATTTCATTCGAAGATATCTGAAATATTTGTTGAAAATCTCAATGACATATTTAGTTTCAATAATTTATAAACATATATAGAAATTATATTTTTTAAATTTTTGAACATGTAATAAAAATACATTTTTTACTTATCTATTATCTATTATCGGACACTTAATTTGGTATAAAAAAACACGAGAAATTTTTCTGATACTTTCTTTCCGCTATTTCATTACGGGAGCAAAACGTGAGATTTTGATTTTAAATATTTTTAAGACGTTTATAATGTATTCGAAAGATAATATTTAAAACAATAGTTGTATTAAAATGAAGCGAAATGTTTTGTATATCTGGTAGAAAAATATTATGAGAACACATGGAGCTAATATTATATAAATATTATAGAGATAATATTCTAAAGTAAACGTTTGGTAAATATTTCAAATGTTTGCTAAATATTTACAAAATGTAGGATATTCGTTAAATATATAGAAAATATAGGACAAATATTTTGTGCTACTAGGGGATGTTCAGTGCCTTTGCGCGGGCAAAGATTCTGAACGTATTTCTGAGCCGATCGGATCGAACAAGTGTTCGTTTTAATGATAAATAATAGGCGCGTGTTAATATGGGAACGATTTTCGATAAGTAATCATTTTCGTTAAATAAATGCAACAATGTCATTTGTAAGCACTTTCAGTGGGAAAGATTTGCTTTGTTTCCCATATAAACATGCATTGACATTTCAACTCTAAAACTATTCCTTGTTGAATTCAATCGGCTGAGAAATATATATGGGAGGTATTTTCGATCAAGCAATTCCTTCTGAATTAAATATAATTACAAATTAGATTGTTGATCTTTTTATTACGGAGATGACCACTTATGGAAAATCCCTCTTATCTAAACACGCGCCTATTCTTTCTTTAAAATGAGCACTTGATCATCTCGATCAATTCGGAAATATTTTTACAATTATTGCTGACGATATTTGCAATTATTGCGACGCAATGCACATCGCTGAAGAAGTCCTTAATGTAAAGCCGCGATTGTGTTTTTATATCCGGAGGTAGTAATTTGGAAAATCTTTTAATAGTTTCTTCTAACCATTGGATTAAACATTTCACCGATAAAAAAAAATGTACGTCCTGAATATTTTGGAATAAGACTCGTTATTCAACGTAATATACAAGAGGATAATGTATTGCAGCTTCTGTGGTGAGAAACAAAGTACTGAAATGTGAGGATATGTATGTACTTGGTTCCATTAAAATAACGTTAGCGTCATCGATGTCCTCATAGGTGTGATCTCAAAAAAGTGTTCGCCATATTAATGCAGTTTCCCCTTTGAAAGTTAATAATTTTTCCGAAGGTATTATTTTGTAGATTCGAAGCTAACAAGGTTAACAATGGTCCATGTTTCCTGCGCTAAATTGGCTCATTTTCTCTCTTCTCGTAACGAGAAACTGGATGTTTAGACCGCTGAAATTATTTAAAATGTTTTATTTGCAGTAGGACTTCATGATATACTTTTAAAATTCAATATTGTCTATCATTTGTTATTCATTTACAGTCGAACCTCCACAAATATTCCCGTACGTGGTATCAGAAGGTGACTCTATGACGCACCTGATACAGAGGACATTTTATTTCTTTAATGTAAAACATACTGTATTAGTGCTGCGTGAATACATGTCTCATGTATCGGGCGGGTGTCCACTCGAGTTTGCGCCGATTAATCCTGATAAGTCTAGCTTTACGGGTAGTTAAACCACAGTTTTTTGTCGGTTTTATGACATTCGGCGACGACAGTCAGCTTAGCAGACCTAAATCAGATTTTCCCTGACCTATCTGTATTATTAATAGCTTCGGTAATAAAGCTTTGAATGTCGGATAGTTAAAAGTAGCACACGTTGTGAGTAGAAACAATAATAAGTTTTTTTCTGTTAATTTCAATAAATGTGTTTTCAGTGTCAGACTATAAAAAAAAATTAGTGGTACCTATTCGATAATTGCTGAGCTCTTGGACGTCGAGGGGAAATGAATGTCTTAAATATGAACATTTCTGGTGTTCACCGAATGCCCGAGTGAAATACTCTGCAGATCGCAGAACGAGAAAGAGTAAGTCAATTCGCTAAAGTAGTTGTGATAACGTTAATTGCGAAATACACGAGAGGGAACAGGTCAGAGAGAAATAGCAAGGGGATTGCACGGCGTTTCTTTGCAAGCGGCGAAATAAAAAAGTGCCGCCGGTTGTAGAAATGTGTACTGGGTTAAATTCGACTCTCGATTCGGTTTTATAAAACGTGTTTATTTTCTGGCATAGCAAAGAATATCGGGAAAAACACGATTGTAAGTTAGCTGTTATCGTTATCATGTTATGATTGCACCGCATTATTTCATTTTACTCGAAAACTCCATGCCGCTTGTAACTAAATTTAACTGTTCCGATCGAATCGATTTACCGCAAATACGGTAAGATAGATGAACAAAATAAAGAAACATTGCATTGATAAAATAATTTTATATGTCTTTCAGCACAGAGGCTGATGTATGTTTCGAGGAGACTTTATCGAGATGTATAGGGTAAAATCTCGAGTAAATGTTTGAAAAAATTGACAGAATCTACAGAGCTGAGTGGATCCTTTTGTGTGGATCTTCTAAGTCTGAAGCCACTTGGATCTCTTCGTTGGGGAGATCGATACGAGATTTTTGTTTCCTGAGACTGAAACTTATGTTCCCAAAACATCGCAAGGTGGTAGATATCCCGATTGCAATGATTTCTTACGGGAAGGATAAAAAATCTCGATCGCGGGGTCAAGCGATGCCATTGATACATGATTTGAAGCCGTTTCTATACGTGGCTCGTTTAGTTGGCTTGGCGCCGTACTCCATTCGAGACACGCAACTATCATTATCCATTGGTGGTTTATTCTGCTCGCTCTTATGTCTTACATTTTGCGGGAATTGCTTTTACACACGTACCGTCGCTACATTACAGTTAAAACTGGAGTGGAAATTAAAAATACTTACGGTTTTAAGAACTATTTTATCAGCATTGGCTATTTCCGCAGATGTGGTACTCTGCGTTTTGTGGACTCAGAAGATGCAGATCTGTATAGATTATATTTTAAAATACGACTTCGCCATCAAATGCAAACTGGAAGATTCGAAAGGAAGTGCTTTCGTTATTCGCAGTTACATAGTCATCGTTGTTTTATTCGTCTTCTTCATTAGTATGGGATGGATTACCGCGATTTATGAGCGCGTTGATTCCGTTGTTACTGGCGTCATGTACGCGTTGCTTTACATAATACTGTCCCTTAGCGTGTTTAAGTTCGTCGCCATTGTTTGCACCCTTTTATCGAGATTCCAGCGCCTTAATCGATTAATTCTATCAGGTGGGTACATAGATTACTCTAACAATAAATTAAAAGTAGAACAACATACTCGCTCCTTTGGATATTGCCATTTTAAGTTTCTCTTCTTTATTAGGGTCTATATTTCATTTCCTTATGTTTCAATTTAACATTATTTATTAATTGACAGTTTCATTGCCATTTTTCGAAAGCATGCTTTTTGCATATTTAATTGTTTCAATATTTACTGATTATAACTTTTGCATGAGAAATTCTTCAATGTTATTTTTACCTTATAGCTTGTATGACATAGGTACAAGTCATAATAAAAATGTTCTATTTGCGGGTGTTTTCTTGACTTTTATTGCTTTTTGAAATTGTTTACAGATGGCACGACTTTAACGTCACTTGTTGCCGAAGTAGGAGGTGATCGAAAACGACTTAGATTACGAGATGTTTGGTGGCTCCATGGATGTCTTGTAGCAGCTGCCGAGGAACTTAATTCTCTTTATTCGGTACAATTGTTTCTGTGGTTTTGTACGTTAACATTCAATATCACAACGAGGATTTATGTGTTTTTTGAGGATGAATCGTCATTCAATTTTAAAAAATTTCTCCGTGATGGAGGAATAGGATTATACTTCATCATGATGTTAACTATCTTGACCGCGATATGTCATAGAACCTCTACCGAGGTAAATCGTCAAATATTTATTTGAAGTTACCAAACGCTGTTAGTTACATTTGTATTACATTAAATGAGTTTTCAATTTTAGGCTAACAAAGTAGGAACGGTGGTTTTCTCTCCAGGTTCAAAAATATTCTCGAGTCGTTCTGCACGTGAAAAGGAAGTTAGTAACTATTCTTTCCTTCATCTCAGTGTTTATCACAAAGATATTTTTTACTATATTAATAATAGAATAAGCACAACCTGTTATCCGCAGGAAATTTTGTTTTTGTCTTTTTTTTTGGTATACATGATGTCGCGACTACATACCGCACATACAACACATATACCGTGCTTCATATTCTGTACGTATATATTTGGCAGTAATGTGAATAATTTATCGTAGGACAGTTTTCCTATGGCCCAATACTTTTTACTTCATCAATTTCACTTTTCGGCTGGAAGCGGTTTTTTCCGTATCAATTTACAACTTTTACTAACAGTAAGTTAAACATTTTTAGTAACTATCTGAAATCTATGAAAGACAATCAATTTTCCTGTTGCAGATTGCTGGGGCTATGACCACTTATTTAGTCATTCTCATAGCCCCAGGAGTATGTTAATTGCTTCGACAATTGTTATTAATATTTACTTCAAACTAAAAGTTGATGAGGTGTGTTAAAACCTATGAAATGTACTCAAGTGAAAATATGGATAAAATCAAGATAAGCTGGACTGTGTCAAATCGAAGAGATGACATACAAAAACGTAATGTGAATATGTCGACATTTTTCGCTCAAGGGACGGTGCAATGGAGTTGAATGTAAATTGCAATTTGGGTATAATTGACGATCAATTAAGGGCCCAATTAACGTATATCAACATGTATTCTCTGATAAACATGTAATCACACATTCTCCGAGGTGGACGTAGCTCTCGAGATGCCTCGTAATTCAATCATCAATCAAAGACATTTAAGGAAAGTAAGACTGAACCGTGTAAACGTAGCACTTGGTATTAAAAAATGTTATTTTAAAAACTATCACGATATTGTAAATTGTTCGGAGTTTTTTTGTAATGTCTTTGTTATTGTTTACAGTATACATGTAGAAAAGACGAAAATTAAAACAATATTGGTGATACATCGTATTTAGATCTATAAAATTAATATGGAAATTAGAAAATAAAAACAATTTCTCTAGAATTCGTATTGTTTTTAATTTATACATTTGAAGTAATGGTAAAGCACATATAAAATAAGGAACGCAAATATCCTCACTTTTCATTGTTCATATAATATTGAAATATGTTGAACGTTGAAATGATTGAAATGCTTTTTATTACATGAATCTCAAAGAGTTGAATATTCGAGTTTTACGTTTTCAACAGTGTTCGGTGTGCTCGAAGAGGGTGGTACGAAAAATTGAGGACGAAAATGAAAATCAGCGGGGAAATGGGCTTTGAAGAGAAAAAGATGCGGTGAAAGTCGAGACGAGATGAAGAATGATTGTAAATAAAAAGAAATATTCGGAAACATTTATAAAGATGACAGAAGACGAGGTAAAAGCAGGTGGGAATGTAATGTTGGTACAGATAAGGAAAGAAAAGGAAAAGCACGAAATAGTGGGATACGACGACCGATAAGGCAGGAGAGACATAGATTAGAAGAGAAGACGGCAGAGGGAGATATAGATAGTGAAAGCAATTAGATTGAAAAGGAGAGAGGGGTAGGTTGGTCGATAAAGTAGAAACGGAGTTGGTTACGAGAGAAGGCAGCAGAGGGCAACGTCTGTGGTAAAAACAAAAATCAGGAAACTCGGTAGAGTTTTACGCCAAATATACACACTTGGATACGTATATTGAACTAAACGGAAATGATAACAGAGGGGCGCAAGAGAAAGAGATATACAACCGCGCGTGTAGAGAAAAGAAAGATAAAATGAGAATTCATATAACCAGGTGTTTGGGTAATATACTATGGACAGGGAGGAGTCTCTTGGACCCGAATATAAAAATGATAAATAAGAATATAAATCGACACAGAAGACAAAGTAGTGGTAGGGCGAGATTTAAGACGGGAGATAAAAAAGCGACGAATTGGGAAAGGGGTGGGGCTGAAAGAAATATTACTGAACATATAGATAATGATATAATGAATATGTGGAAAGAGTTGAGGAGGGGGATGAAAAAAGGGAAGGAAGAGCGCTACCAACTCGATGGTGGTTATTTTTATTAACAGGATTTCCTACATTCAATTAACATGATTTTTGATTTGGTGTGTATAAATACAGACTGTGCGTTATATGTTATAAAGTTATATGTTATAACGTAATATATGTTATAAAGAGAGAGGGGTAGGAGTATGCAGGGTCTCGAGGGATATGTACTCTTGTGGCTGAAATTTGGATGCAGAGCAAGCGATTTTAAGTGTTTCTCGCGGACCAAAGGGTTCTAGTTGAGTTAAGTTTAAAAGAGTCCCTAATTAATCGCAAGGATTTTCAAGAAAAAAGATTAACTTGGGGTCCTGTAGAATAGCATGCTTGAGGGTGAAACCGAGAACTCACATTAGCTGGTTCTTTTCTAGGGATGCTTGGCGAAATTGATACGCCCCCCCAAGGTGCAAACTTGGTAATTGTACGAATGCCGGCGTCTCCCTTCTGGGGCAGTTCCTTTCCGGCCATGTAGCGAGACTTATGCTTTGGCTTCTTAGTTTGCGACACTTCGTCTCCCAGATCCATAAGAACGAGACAAACCGAAAACAACAACTGCAGAAAGGAGTAATACACATATTGCGTATAACGAGCTTTATCTAAAGTAGTAACTTAACATTTTCAGGGTATCCTAAAATGGAGACTGGTCCGGAGATTGGTCCGACTTATGGACGATTTACCCCCTAGTACCCACAATTGTTTAAATTATATCATTTTCTCTGATGCTGTGAGTATGCATTTTTACGTTTGCACAATTATCAATTACAGTGGCGTCAACTGATGACCTGCAGAATTTATCAGTTTTAAACCACGTTATGCCCACTATCAGCGCGATGATTAGGCCAAGGTTTGAAGGTGAGGGCAAATCTCAACAACGACGTCAATGGCAATATCAGTAATAATTGCAATTATAGCGACAGCAGTAATGGCATCTAATCATTATCGTTTAGATGGAGACCACCATGTAACTTTCAGGTGAAGCAGCGATCATTTCTTGCATATGACCGGTACATATATTATGCCGGTGGGTTTGGCGTTAACCCTGACAGTGACAACAAGATCGAAAGCAAACATGGGCTGTGGACGCGTATATAGATATTGGTAATTCTTTTTTTAAACAGGATTCTTACTCGCACCTTCGGCTTCGGTTTCCCAGTGGAATCCCTTTAAAGGAGCGTGTTCTTGCATATTACCGATATGTATATTGTGCCGGTGGGTTTAACGATAATTCTGACAGTGATAATAAAAGCGAAAGCAAACATGGCCTGTGGAAGTGTATATAGATATTGGTCTTTCTTTTTTATACGGGATTCTTACTCCCCCGTACCTTCGGCTTCGGTTTCCCAGTGGAATCCCTTTAGAGGAGCGTGTTCGGAATTCCAAGCTTCCTATTTGCGATATGCCCCCAAAATGGCTCGAACGTTCATCTGGGGCGTTAGTGGGTGATTTTCAACGGCTTGGATTGCTATCGATCCGGGAGGAGCAGGAGGAGAACGAGGAGGTGGTGGAGCACGAGAAGAAATTAGTGCAGAAAAAGGATTGGACAGGAGAAGATCCGATGTCGAAGGAGAGGTAAAGATGGTGGGGAGGTAGGGACTTTGTCGAAAGGAAGAGAGGGGACAATGAAAGGACATACGTGAAACTGAGTAATGATCCAGGGGAGCCAAGGGGATGTCCTGTTAAAGACATGCTGTGTATTCTGGCAATTCTAAGCTCCCCCGAGCTTGCCATCTAGCAATCTTCTTATGGCAACGCAGATCCTTGCCGTGTGCTCCAGGCAATAAATGGTTTCTTTGTGTGTTCTCACTTCCCAAACATCTAAGAAAGATATGAAGCTATTGGAGTCCCACGGATGATTAGATGATGTGGCTTGTCTAGAAGGCAACGAGTTAGCTCAATTATCTGACTTGCAATCGAATAAACTGTCCACTATTGTTCTCCACCTGTACAGTAAAAGTAGACGTTTACACGCTTGAATATTAATACACTGGCTCGCAATAGTACATTTGATACTCTGTGATAAAATAGTGATTTTGACATAGAAAATTGTAGGTTTAAAGAACTTACCTCTTTTTGGTCCTTTGTAAGTAGATCGAATTGTTATGAAGTTGTTATGGAAGACCGTGCTTTTAAAAGTGGCCATTTAAAGAGACATGCCTACAGCATATGAGCTTTATGCTTGATAAGCCACATTTATCGATCTGTTGGAAGCTGTAGGCGTGTTTGAATCCGATGGACCGTGAAAGCAGTTTAACAGGCTTTATTGATAGACACTGTATAACATACAAGCTGTTATCACTGGGCGAAAGAGTAAAAAACCGAGACTTCCGGGTAGTATGCAAAGGGCATTTTCTTGATTTCTGGTAATCTTTTGAATTCGTGTATATAATCCTTTTCCCCATCGGTCTTGGTGTGAGATAATATTCGTTCACATACAAAAAATGCATTTAAACAAAGTACTTGATACTTCCTTTCTGTTGTCACGTATATGTGAATTAGAGGATTTAACGTAATCGGCTGCAATCACATTTACGTGATATCAACGAAAGCAAAAAAAAAATTTATTGGGCGTAATTTTGTATGAAAAGTGTGCCACCGTTAATTGTTAATGTAGATAACGAAGTAGTTGTAGCAGTAAATTGTGGACCTATTTCCTATACTCGATTTATTATGTTATCTACCGAGAGAGTGAGTTTATTCGATTTCAACGATGTTTCAAACGTGATCAGTCAATTCTGAATAAGATACGTTTTTAGAGATGCATTTAATGGGAAAGCACAACACGAAATACTAGAAGGGAAACCCACGTTTTTAATTGAAAGGGAACATGGTACAATTTAATTAGGTATTTAAAAAGACTAGGTGTGGTTGTTGCGAACATGTTTGAGTATTGACGTCGTTCAGAAATAGTACCTTGATATATTTCCTTTCGAATCTGGAACGAACGTTTTTGTTCATCCTAAGCCTCTCGTTTGGCTCCCATTTCGTTGATGCTGGATATACGTGTAGGCTGGCTGTTTTTCCCCGTTTTTTTTTCCCGTTCCCGAAGGACTCAGCCGTTTCAGGAATTATTTCTCTTCCTACTTGGCTGCATGAATTTCGAGAGGTACACGAGTATTATTATACTAATAGCACATTTTACGTTTTTACATTGATATCTTTACAAAATTATTTAAAAATCGGGATGCACTCAAACATATTGTACGTATTTTTTAATAGATTTAATAACCGTGTGCAATAAACTTCGTGCTATAATTTGAGACAATCTTCAAATACTTGGAAACTACTGATATTCTGCCTGAAATTGAGAAAAATCTAAAATTCATATTTAGAAATTATCGGCAAAAGTTTGTTTGACGGTAAAATAACTCGAGTTCAACTGAAGAAACGGAGAAACTCTTTTAAAGAAAATG